AAAAAAAAAAAAAAAAAAAAAAAAGGACAAGATGGCAGTTAACAAGAATTCCCCCTTGCCTTACGTCCCAACATGCTGCATCTCAGCACTCAATCTGCTGATCAAACTAGAAAGGCCCCTTGAACATGCATCAGCTGTGATGCCTAAAAAACTCCTCTAAAACTTGTCATTGCCAAGAACTGCTGAATTTACAGTTTGAGACAGTCTCACGTTTAAACTATAGTCTTAATAAAATATTTGTCTTAACAAAGATGCAAACCAGGCTGTATGTGACATCTCTCTTGGCTCCCTGACCCTGAATTGTCACCTAAGTTTTGCTGTTGCTGACAAAACACAGAACAGCTGCTGAGCTGAGCTCCTGGGAAGTTATTTGTTATGAGGTGCTCAGACTATTCAAGGCCTGTTTTCACTCTGATCTTTGCTCCAGTCCACAACTCATATGTTTGCCAGGAGCTGCTGGAGAAAACACTAAAAGGGGAAGGCAGGGAGAAAATAAACGACAAGGAGAAAACACTGTCCTATTAACAACAGTATATTTACCTCCTAGCAAGATAGTATCTCTGTGCAGCATCTTCAGGAGTTTGCACAGCGTAGCAAGGCTGCTTCTGTCACTGGCTTGGCTTCAGACCCTCCGTAGAAGAAATCACATCCACCTTCCATAGTTTAATTCCTCTGCTCCACTGGTTTAAACTCCTGAAGTGCGGGACAGACATCTCCCCTCCACCCTGGGGGTGGAGATTTCACCCCTGATTTCAGCAAGATCCCCTTCCACACCCAAGCCAGAAGGATGCAGCTGCCTCAAGGCAGGGCCAGCAGTTTCCCACAGCAGAGCCCAGTGAAGAGGGGCATGGAAGAACTGAGCTGTCACGGAGCTGACTCACCTTTCTGGAAAGAGCAGCTGGGGGTCCCTGGCTGTCCTCCCCCAGCACTGCCTTCCTTCACACTCAGATTGGGGGAGGTAACATTGAGCCTGGCACAGCGGCCGACAGAAAGGCTCTTGAACTCCAAGCTTTGTTTTAGGTAGTGGCCTTCTGCTCCATTTACAGAAGGGTTAGAAGTAGGACAGACAGTTATATATTCTAAACGAATAGTTTCCAGAGAGTGTTGAACTTGTTTCACAGAACTGTTTTGCCTTTAAGAAGAAGCATCTGCTGTGGCCAGTGTCTATACCCAAGAAGGTAGAGATGTGTTACATTTTGATGAGAGAAACAAAGTTTACACTCCAAGCTTATGTTTTTGGTATCTTTTGTAGCAAGTAGGCAAGCAGTCCAAACAACCTTCTTCCCTTTAATCAAAGCAGGTCAAACCCTTCCCTGAAGTCAGGCTCCAAAACTGCAAAATACCACCAAGTCCCTGAACTACTTCAGCTATAGCAAGCGACCTTCTCATATACCTCAAGCTGTAGAGAAGGGCTATTTCAATGACTGACTAACCGCTAAAAGAGTCACTAGCATGTCTCTAAAGGCTTAATTCAGGTCCAAGCAAGGCTGGAGAGCACACTTCAGACAGCGAGGGCTGGTCTGCACAGGGTGCAGTCACAGAGGCTCAGCTCAAGGACCAGAGCAGACACACAGCTCCACCACCAGCATTAACATTCACATTTGTGCAAGCACTCTCCTCAACAAAACTCAGCAGCTTGGGGAAACCAGCATGAGGTATGCAAAACCTGTCCGTGCTGGGAGCTCACAGAAACTCAACAGAAGCAGTTTCTCTGCTAGATTGATATTGATCTACCACGTTGTATAAGCTCAAGAATCCCCCCCCACATTCAGACCTTGAACACCCATAATGGAAAAAGCTTCTCATGTCAACTACTTCCTATGACAGCAAGAGTGTAATGGATACCACCTTCCTCAACATCTGGCACATGCAGAAAGCCTGCCATCAGTCAAGAGAGAAGCATGCTCAAAATCTTCACTCTAGAGAAGTATCAGGCTCCCCACCAGAACACAGTGGCTTCAGAGACCTCAACTCCATGGAGCAGCCTGAAGGGAAGACAGCACCCATGCTGCATGGCAGGCTTAGCCAAGAGCTCATTAAAGCAGCTTCTCGCTTTGGTCAGCACAGACCAACATCCCACCTTAAAACTCTTGCTCTCCAGGCTCAGCTCAGTGCATCAAATCAGCTTTCCCCAAGAGGGAGAGGGGCTGGCTGCTACACCAGAGGAGCTGGTTTGGAGTGGGGTGTGCACAGGACAAAGAACAGCTGCTTCCCATCACTTGCAACCCAGACACGAGTGCTCAAGCCTCCCCAAGACCCGCAGAGGGATTCAGCGCCTGCCATCCTCACAGTCTTGCAAAATATAGGAAAATGCTTTTCAGCACAGATGTGGGTCAGCCCCACGAAGCAGTTCAACTCTGCCTCCTGACAGCACAGCTATCCCTGCAGGCTGCCCACGACCATGCCTGGCTCAGCAGAGAGGGGAGAGGAGGGCAATGTGGAACAGAGATGCCACAATGACCATTGATAGATTCCAGCAAAAACAGTGACAGTGTTGTAAGGCACTGTAGTATTTTAGGCTGTCGTCTTTCCCCTTTCTTCCCATGCTAGACTGGCTTTCTTGAAGAGAACTTTCTCTACACAGAGGTTCGCTAATGAACTTGGACCTAGGCTTGGGGTTAAAGGAAGACTAGACAGTGCTCAGGTACTGGGCTTCAGCAAGACTCAAACATTGCCTTAACAATTGCAGGTCTGCTTCCCAGGGGAGACTCATTACGTTATACGCTGCTTAAAAAGTACCACCTCTTCAAGAGAGGAGATAGCCTGGATGCTAATATGTCTTCAGGGGAGTCCTGCACTAGTACGAGGACAGGCTTGGACTCTGCTGGATTTTTCCTATCCTTAAAAGTGGACCAAATCATACTCTGAAAGATCTAGTGGCACTTGAAAAACCTCTGCTCTCCCCTCCTTCCCAAGAGTCTTCCCCATGGATGCTTTGAGCACCCCTGACTTTCAGCTCTTAGACCAGAGCTAACTACTCTTAGGATGGAAGCAAAATGCAGAGAGGAAAGAGCCAGCAGAGTAAGCCAAGGGAAACCAGATCCAGATGTGCCTCAAGTTCAAGTCTGTGTGCCAGCAGCACAGCACAGCCATGCAGGAAGCCAGAGTGAAGCTGTGTGCAGGGACAGAGACCAGAAAGCGGTGCTCACCTTATCGTGCTCCATTTCCCTCCCTGCCCTCCCAGCCTGGCCCGCCCTTCCCCTTACACGCTGCACAAAGGGTAACAATATCAGACATGCTATTTTCTTTCTGATATGTGGAAAGCTGAAACCTTATGCTTCCACACTACACCATCCCACTGCAGGACAGCAGCACCAACAGTACCATCACCGTCCACATGACACACAATATCTAAGCTTCACAAAACAATGCATACAAGAATGCGTGTGGCCCTCCCAGTCCCACTCTGATCCAAAAGGAGCTCATCCTTTCCTGAGCCTCACACTTGAAAATAACTGCATCCAGTGGGCTGCCTCATTTCCCCAGGCAAGCCTGCCCCGATCTCCCCCACCTCCCAACTCCATTTCAAATAGGGGACTTGGACTAATTCATCTTGTTAAAAATCAAAACCAGCCGTTGGGACTCAAACAAAATTAGAGTTGTTCTTTGAAGCTTGCCTGGCCTATTTAGGAGGGCACTGCCATTACTTGGCAGGTTTTGTAGCTTTGCTGCTCAGGGGCAGCTCAGCTGGTGCTCCAGATGTGGCAGAGAAAGTAGTTACAACTACCCTCCTTCCAGAAAGGATCCATAACTCCTGTTTTCCCTTCCCACTGCAGGAAGGGAGCTGTGGGCATTGGAGACAGCAGGTGTGTACTGGGAGCGGAGCTGCTCGACATACCTGGGAGCCGCACAGCAGCTCTGACGTCCCTCGACTTCAGGGATTCCCTCCCTCCTTCCAAAACTCTGGCCATTTTATTTAATGAACATGCTGGGCCAACATCCAGAAAAAAACACCTTTCCAGCTAATTTTAGTCCAGGCCTTCCTTTTTACTCTGCAGATGCCCACAATACTTACAAGGAACAGGAGATTGAAGAGGAAAAGGAAGTACTTGGTGACTTTTAGGCAGCCAGACCCCATCTTCTTTCACTTACGGGACCTAAAGGGAAAGCAGACAGACAACCAGTTATGTTAGCGACAGGTCCTTCAGGCAGTTTCAGAGCAACATCCTTACCCTGTGCAGAGCTCTGGATCATCTAGTGGGTTTCAGAGCAGACACACAGAAAGCATGTGCTCCATAGACTACCCGAGTTGCCTTTTCAGGGCAGCAAAACAGGACACCACTGTCACTACAAATACAAACAGCCACTTCTGCCAAGATCTCCTGGAGAGTGACAGAGGGCTATCAGTAGTTACAGATGGGATTTAATCACAAATACACTACTAATTCCATCACTATTTATATAGACTTTGCATTAATAGCATCAACCAAAACACCAACTCTAGCTACCACTCCTGGCAGAAAAAAGGGATGCACTTATCTGAAGGAGCTCACAAGGCCAGCTCCCTCCCACAGAAAATCTCTTCTCTTTGTGACCCCTAAGCAGCTGAAGGAACACTGAAGAGCAAGACCAAGGGGCCAGTTTAAAAGGCAGCATTAAATCAAGCTTCCTGTGTGCAGCTCAGCACCTGATGCTTTGACAGCGCAGGAGGTCCAGCAAGTCTTCTCCGTGGATACATACTACCAATTCTGCTGCAGGATCAAGCCAGGCAAGATTCCAAAAAGTCCCAGTTTCCAAAGCCAACCTCACGAGTTCGAGGCAGTGTGGGAGCACTGATAAGACAAGATGCTGGTTTTAGTTTGTTGGTACCAGCCACACAAACTACACACATCCATGGGGTGGCTAGCAAGCAATACAGAGACAAACTCCAGGGCAGGTCTTCGCCACAGAGAGAAGGTACTTTACTGTATCTGATGTTAACTCTGCCCAATTACCATGGCTGAAGCCTATGTAAACCCTTACGAGAAGGGATGACAAGGTTGCTCTTAACACTGCAAAGTAGGCAGCTTATCAACAATAGATCCTCATCAGGTCTTTGCGCTACAGGACCAGGGGAGTAAATAGATCTGTATTACTGCAAGCTACTCCAATTCTCACTTGTCTGACAGCAAAGAGCGCAGAAGTTAGAAAAAAGTCCCACAGACCATCCCCGCTACTGGAGTAAGCCTCCTCCTGGGGAAGCAGCACAGCCGAGTAACACATGAGGAGCGGTGGGGGAACATCTCAGGTCAGCTTTCCTGCTTCTTCTTCCTCCCCCATGCTCAGTTATGTTTCCTACATAGGCAACAGAGGACTTTTAAGTTCCTTAAAATTTGCTCTAGCAAGCTCCTTGCTCAAAACAGACCATGCTGCTTTAAGAAGCAACAGCGAGAGGAAGAGCGATGCTAGGCTGGGGTCACCAGTCTGGTCTGCGAAGAGCCAGCCCCAACAGACAGCAAGGTCAGCAGGGTTCCCTGCTGCCAGCCTGGGTGTACTGAGGGTCACTGGAGCCCAGTATGTTCTTTTATTTCAATCAGAGGCTTTTGCTTAATCCTATTAAATATTTAGGTTAACTCTGGTATGTGGGCCTTGTTATAACTGGCTAGTCTTCTCACCAAGCAATGGCCACCCTTCAACTACCAGGAGAGAGCACAAGTCTGAACTCCGTGGCGGAAGACAACACTGCTGCTCTAACTTGAAGGGATGCCATAGCTAGAGGCTGCGCTAAGCCCATCACTGCACAGCACACAGCAAGATGTTATTGAGATGGGAAAGCAGCATGGACATACAATCTCAGCCAGCTGTGCTACAGGTTGATCTTAAAAATCCCGTCTATGCTATATAGTCATTGCACCTAAGGAACTCTTACTGCACAGCTAGGTTAGCATCATCTCAGTCACTTTTTACTCAGTTAACTCCTCAGGTCAGAGTCCATAAAGCCCGCAGCACCCAGAAGTAGGTCCTTCAAATTAGCCGGGGAAAGCTCCTGTAAGTATGGACCAGAAACTGTTACATCAAATATCAAAGACACAGCATTCCCATTTCCAGTCCCCCCAGGTGCAGTCATCAGCTATGAGCTTGTTCTGTTCCAGCACAGATGCACTATACAACAGCTGCATCACTACCAACCTATGAGAAGTGAGTGAAGGCTCTCTGTTAGCAGATTTTTGCCCTTGGTTAATGACAGAAAGTTTATTCAGCTAGCCTTGCTCATGCTAGAGCAACTCTCCTACCACAAATCATATGCCAGCTTGCTGTCACAGAACAACTGTAACCCAAAGACTACCATGCCTTCAATGGTATCTCAGAAAAGGGGCAAGAATTGGAGCAGGGACAGCACTAATGTCGCTTCCTTCAAACTGTATACTCCCCTCCTTTCCTCTGCAGGAGATACATTCTCTCGGGCCGTTAATCCTGGCAGGCACCAACACTTAAGACTGCACTTGGAAGGATAACTAAGACATAAGTTTTCCCATCCAGCTGGCTTGCTTACTGGCTTCACCATGAACACCTCTCCTCTTAATAGCATCACAAACTGGAGCCTGGCAGTCTAACCAGAACGTTGACGCAGCCAGGTCCCTAGGCAATGATGAATGTCTGTTGTGGGGGATACAAGTATTTTTCTACTCTTCAAACTAGCCAAGAACTAAGCTAGACAATAACCTCCTGCGCAAGGCATTGGACTTCTTACCTTAAGATGTCCAGTCCCAGGTGCAATCCTCCTTATTTTCAAGCTGGAGGGAAAATTCCCATTACTTGCTGACTTGCTTCCTAGCACTAGGTAGCCATGTGCTGCCTATTTCCGACTCTGTTCACACTACTTTGATTAGTCAGGAAAAAACACATTTGCAGAGCTGTTAGGATCTTTACAATAGTTATCTAAGATAATTAAGTAGCCAAACAAGTTGAGAAGAGCTGGTGTGGAAGAAGACATGCCTAAGGTGACAAGAGTAAAAGATTGCTTTCAGGGCTCTTCTACTCCTAGCTATTTGTTAAAGGCATACCATCTTCAACGTTTATTAAAAAAACCCAAAAAGCCAACTGTGCATTACAGCATTATGCACCATTCTCCTCTTGCCACAGGGAGATATACCTCTTTTGTAGCTCCTAGCCATAAAGTAATTCAAAGTACAGTTTTCAAGCCAAAAGAGAACCAGGGTTTGCTTTGAGCCTTTAAGATACTTCAAAGCTCCACATAATGAAACATTACAGATTTTCCAATTCTTCTGCTATCCTTTCGAAATTAAATTTACTTTTGTTCACTACATTAATGAAACTCCTCAAAACCCTACCTTCTGAAATTGCACAAACAGTCACAAAACCAACACCACCACCATACAGTAGAAGCAGCAGCTCAACAAAATTTGAGATGGGTTAGGTTTGGCAGCAGACGGGCTTGTAGTTGTCACAACCAGGTATCTCCATGGGCCTCTCGGCAGTGAAGGGCTGGCTCAAGTACTGAGTTGTGTCAGCCAGTGCTGCCTGTGGACTGTGGCAGTCAGAGCTGTCCAGTTGCCTTTTGAAGTCAGCCAGCTTTTAAGCCTTAACATCCTGCAGCCACACATGCAAAGGTTTAATATATGAAGTTTGCAACTTTTAGATTCCACTGATTGTCCGCAACTGTTTGTTTCCTCCTTTTCCTCTCCACCCGAACTGCTTTGACCACTTGAACTTTCCTCCCCAAGCAGCCACACTCAGTCTTTCTAACAATCATGCCCATACGCCTCCAAATTTTCCCTGTCATTTTCCAGATTGATGCCAGCTCTGCAGGGGATATAATAAGAGACCATACCATCAACTTGCAGAGTGGCTTTTCTCCCGGCCTCTCATTTCCCATCCTATAAAGACATCCTATAAGACATGCATTTACCCACATCTACCAGCTTGCTCCTTTAAGGTACTACTGCCATAAAAACTTGGTTGCCAACGCGGCCTGGTCAGCTTCTGTGTAGTTGATCTTGGGTCTTTCTTAGCATCAGCCCTAGGACATGAAGGGAGAACTAACTCCAGGAAGGCATCAATTGATCCAGGACCCCGGGGTTCCCCCTGTGTGGGAGGAACAATGAGTCCACACAGGCTAAACAAGCATGAGGGGATGGCGTCCTGCCCCGTCCACCACCTCCAGTGCTCAGGCCTGTCGTTCTCCCAGCAACAGTGATGACAGCAAGACTGGTATGTGGAGCACAAAATCCAGGACACGTGTGTCTGAGGAGAGGCAGACAGAGGCCTGCTTTGTTAGCGACAGCAGAGGAGTCCCATCACAGCTCGGAGATTAACTTATTTTTGCCGCAGGAGCCTGCGATACTCCCAGCCCCCCTCCCGCAATAGGTGACTGCAGCGAAGGACAGGCTTGGGACAGATATGGGAAGAGCCGAACACCTCTGCCTCCTGGCCCCACCACCGGCCGTTGAGGCAGGAAGGGGAACACTTGTGCACAGATGTTATAGCCTCTCTGCGCCTTAACTGATGTGGTTAAGTTAATTTTTAATCGCAATTCTGCTCTCTCCAATTAGATCCTGTACTGCTTCCACCTAGCAAGCGCTGCACGTTTGGTGCTCACTGAAGTTTATGATATTTGGCTCGGGCTAGCACTGTACGTGCCTGTGCCATGCAGCTCTGCCGGTAAGAGCTCAGCCTTCCTCTGCAACACCACCCTTGCTCTTGCAGTGCAGGTTCCTTCCTGATGAGCTCTGGCAGCTGAAGCACCTCAGCTGCCAAGTTACTGCACAGCACAAATAAGGGGCTCATTTACAAGCACGGTGAGAGAGAAGGAGACAAGCAGGAACAACCTCAACACAAACCATCAGTTGTGGAAATCACCGTCTCGGTACATTTACAGGCAAGTGCAAAGTTCCCACAAACCCTGGAGGAGAGCACACGTGCTCCCGAGCGCAATGAGCTCTGAAGGTCAGCCCCGATACTCAAAGTCAAGTAGAAGAGGGTTCACATTTGCATGCATCTACATAGCCTGGAAGATGCTGTCCCCTCTCCCCAGACCCTCTTCCTTAAGGAAAGGAAATGATCAGTTACAAAGAAGCTGCAGGTTGTTTCTATGTACTTTGGCCAGCTGGTCCCCACTACCACTCCTCAGGCTCTAACCCTAGGGAGTGTAAAACAAA